GCTCTTTCTGTGAAGGTGGCTAAGCTGTCTGCTCAAATTAGAAGACTGAGAGAGGAACTAAGCGAAGCATGATCCGGAACCCTCTCTGTATACAAGGATAAGAGCACTACAGGATTGGTGTCTAGCCCATTGATGGAGCCGCAAACTTGTACAGGTTAGATGTGGCATGCAATTACGTTTGCGTGTTATGGTTAAAAATTGATTGGTATGTATATGGATTTATTGTTAAGGTTAAGAATGTATTGTTAACTTTACTGATCTAATGTTAAGGTTAGGGATTTATTGTTAAGGTTAAGAATGTATTGTTAACTTTACGTATCTAATGTTAAGGTCAGGGATTTATTGCCAAGGTTGGAGATTGATTGTTAAGTATCTTGGTTAGTTTTAAGGTTATGTAACTGATGCTATGTTTTTTTTGACAATGAAGTACCTAAGCTCATTTGTGTTTATTTTTTGAATCAGACACTCCAGGCACCGTGGGTGGCATTGATGTACAGTACGATGGGGATGTCAATAAATCATTATTATTTGATGAAGCTAATAAGGAGAGCGAGGCCCCTCCAACAGGGAGGGCCTCTCCACAACCATTGTTTTCTGATATCCACAAGGAGAGTGAAGATGCTCCGCCAGGAGAATTACCTCCACCAGAGGCATCTGCTGTTGACAAGGCCCTTGAGGCAGAAATAAACGAGGGAGAGAAGGTGTCCCCGCCAGCGAAGGAGCTACTAACTTGTACAGGTTAGCTTGCTTTTGTGCTATATGTTAGAGATTGGTTGTTATGTCTACGTATTAGTTGTTAAGCTTTTTATTGTTTATACTCTGAATATTATCAAAAACAGGCACTCAACGCGAGGGCACTGGAAGGGAAATAACGCCGGCGGTTGAAGTCCCTTCTGCAGGTGATGGGGAGACGCAAACTTGTATAGGTTAGCAACTTTTTCACCATGTGTTTAGGCATCAGTTGTTAGGTTTACTATGAAATTGTTAAGTTTAGATAGAAGGGGCTATGTTTTCTTAATATTTATACTTCGAATGGGTTGTTTGGAATCAGACACTCTGCGGGAGGACACTGGGATGGAAATAAAGCAATCAGAGAATGCCCCTCCACCAGCAATAGAGACATCAACTGATGACGAAGATGCTTCTATTATGTTTTCAAGGGTTTTGAATAAGAGAAAGAGGGGTGCAACGGGGGCACGCGGGAAGATGGCCGCTGCTG